CCAGGAGGCGGAGGTTGCGGTGAGCCGAGATCGCGCCATTGCACTCCAGCCTGGGTAACAAGAGCGAGACTCCGTCTCAAAAAAAAAAAAAAGAAAGTGGCATGTTAGAGAAACAGTGAGGGATCCCATGTTTGGCAGGAGGTGAAGTCACTTGTAGTCTAAGGGTCTTTAGATACCATTGTGAGGTGTTTGGACCTTGTCCTTTATGGGTAGGATCTTACTAAGTAATGAGAGGAATACAAAAAAATAATAATAACAATTGCTCCTAAACACCCTTCAGGAAGACCATCCCCAGTGTCTAGCCACAGTGTGGTCCATAGCAGACATTAAATAATTATTGAATGAGCGAGTTAGTAATAACAGTGTGATTCAGGGAAATAGGTGCTGTAGGAACTCAGAGGAGAAAAGTCGCTGCAAGCTAGAGACGTAAGAGTGAAAGGGAGGCTTGAGCTGGGTCCCCAAAGATGGATAGCTGTCAGAGGTGTATGGGTTTTCTATTTGCCACTATGGCAAGTTACGAGTTTTTAGTGGTGCAACACAAATTTATTATCTTAGAGTTATTTAGGTTAGAAGTCAGACACAGGACTTACCAGGCTAAATCAAGATGTCTACAGGGCTGCATTTCTTTCTGGAGTCCCTGGGTAAGAATCCCTTTCCTTTCCTTTGCCATCTCCTAGAGGCTGTCCAACACACCTTGGCTCGTGGCCTCCTTCCTCCATCTTCAAAACCAGCAGTAGCAGGTTGAGTCATCACATCATTCTGACCTTGCTTCTGTCATCACGTCTCTGACTCCCTCTTTTGCCTCTCTCTTCCACTTTTAAGGATCCTCATGATTATATCGGGCCCACCCAGATAATCCTGGACAATTTCCCTGTTTTCAAGTCAGCTGATAGCAACCTTAATTTTATCTGCAACCTAATTCTCCTTTGCTATGTAACCTAACATATTCACAGATTCTAGGATCAGGACAAGGGCATCTTCAAGGGAACATTCTGCCTGCCACAAGAAGATTAATATCCTGGAGGGAAAAATGGTGTGAGTCAGTGCAGATATAAACATGATGTGCTTCTATTAGAAAACAGTGATGGGCCAGGCACCGTGGCTCATACCTGTAATCCTAATACTTTGGGAGGCTGAGACAGGAAGATTGCTTAAAACCAAGAGTTCGAGACCAGCCTGGGCAAGAAAACGAGATCCCTGTCTCCACAAAAAAATTTAAAAATTAGGAGCCAGGCATGGTGGCTCACTCCTATAATCCTGGCACTTTGGTAGACTAAGGCAGACAGATGACTTGAGGCCAGTAGTTCTAGACCAGCCTGGGCAACATGCCAAAACCCCATCTCTACAAAAAATACAAAAAGTAGCCAGGCATAGTGGTGTGTGCCTGTAGTACCAGCTACTCTGGAAGCTGAGGCAGGGGAATTGCTTGAGCCCAGGAGTTGCAGGTTGCAGTGAGCTATGATGACACTACTGTACACTGCACTCTAGCCTGAGCAACAGAGTAAGATCCTGTCTGGAAAAGAAAAAAAGAGGGGGGGCGCAAACAGTGATGTATGTTTGCATGCATGTACAAAAGCCATGAGGAGACACCTGCTTAGCTAGAAGGAAGGATTTATGCTGGAGCAGCAGGAAAGGAAATTGGAAGATTGATAATCAGATTGGTGGGTTGGGGTTTGTTTTGTTTGTTTTAAGAGACAAGGTCTCGCTCTACTGCCCAGGCTAAAGTACAGTGGGAGGATCATAGTTCACCGTAATCTTGAAATCCTACCCTCAAGTAATCTTACTACCTCAGCCTCCCAAGTAGCTAGGACTGCAGGCACATACCCTCATGCCAGGCTAATTTAAAAAAAAAACAACTTTTAGAGATAGGATCTTACTATGTTACCCAGGCTGATTTCAAACTCCTGGTCTCAAGCTATCCTCCTGCCTTGGCCTCCCAAAGTGCAGGGATTACAGATGTGAGCCAAC